CCACAACGGGAAACTCACGGAATTCTTCGAAGTGAGGATGGGAGTGAGACAAGGCTGGTTGGCTGGCTGCCTACTATCTCCAATGATTCTCCTGGTTGCGGCAGACTGGATAATGTGACAGACAGACAGCCAGCCGGGCAACGAGGAGACAGGAATAAAATGGACTCACACAAAAAACTTGGAGGATCTGGACTTCGCCGATGATATATGTCTGATTTCCTACAAACTGGAAGATATGCAAGTTGAAAGCAACAAGTTGGCAAAAGAAGCGTCCAGAGAAGATAGGACTTCAGGTGAACACAGAGAAATCAGAGATGATGAAGATTCCTGGCCAACAACAACAGACAACAATCAGCATAAACGGGAGAAATGTGAAAGAAGCAACCTCTTTTACCTACCTTCCTACCTGGCAAGCATCGTTTCAACTACAGGCGGACGGAACTGATGAGGATATCAAAGCGAGGACTTGGAGGGCAAGATAAGCTTTCATTTCTCTCAAGTCTGTGTGGAGGTCAACAGCACTACTCAGCATGAAAATGAAAATGAGTTCCACATTTTCAACTCCAGTGTGAAGTCAGTGCTACTTACTATACTGATCAGAGACTTGGCGCCACGCTACCAAACAAATGCCATTTCGAACAAACTACACACCTTCATCAACAGCTGTCTTCGCTCAATACTTCACTCAAGATCAGATAGCCAGCCAGAAAAGATCAGCAGTAGGCAGGGATCTGTGGTAATGAACGAACGGACCCAGCATGAACCAATTGTGCAACAAATCTGCAGGAAGAAATGGAGGTGGATGGATTGTAGGCCATACTCTGAGAAAACAAATCATCAAGTGATATCGCACACCGGGCTATTGCTCGAGTGGAACTCGAACCGGAAGTGGCGAGTTAGTCGGTCGTCAGTGTGAGGGTGACATGGAGTAGGAGGAGGTCATGTGCAGAGCAGATGAAAGCATGTGTGCAGATGTGGAGCCAGGTAATGAAAACGTTGGCAGAGAACCGAACGCAATGGAGAGGTGCGGCTCAAGTTCTATGTTCCTCTAGGAACTAAAGGAAACAATATTATTAACAATAATGATAATAAAGTAATCGTCATTTTGTTACACTTTGAAGGCCATAAATCCAGGGTAATTTATCTTTAAACTCAGACATTATTGACTTATTGATCATTTATTGGTTCTCTTCACCCCTGTGGGTAGTAAGAAAATCGTTTATCCGACTAATTCGTTGAAGAAGTGAGCAAAATTATTATTATTATTGTTTCCTCGGGTTTCGAATGGAACATATGGGTTTCAACAGTATACTCCATTTTTTCTGTCCTCTTCAGCTGATCACACGATCGCCCATAAGCTTTCCTTTGCTTCTCCCATAATCTCCTCTGTGTCATTCCTGCGTGCCCAACTCGGTGTTTCCCATTCGTGTCCCACTGGAGCAGTGACCTAGCATGCGATATCTCCTTACAGTCTCCTCAGTGTTAGTCTGGTCCATCTTCATTTTCTTCAACATATTTATTCGACAATAAGTTCTTGTTGGCATCACTGCACTGAAGAGTTCCTTAGTGTTAATCCTTTCTGGACGTCTGAGTTTCAATACTAAGTAAAGCTGACAGCAGTAGATAAAAGTCCGCAAACTTGGAAATGCTCTTTGTGACATATCAAGTCTCCGACCAATGGCTGACTTGACTTGTTTGTAGTTGAAAGGATGCCTTCTAGATAAGTGAAGGAAGTAACCTCCTCTGTGAAGTCTTTCTAGTTGGTGATGGTGATTGGTGCTCGTTGTTGTTGCTGTTGTTGCTGCTGCTGCTGTTACTGTTCGTTGGTTATCTTCCCCACCTCCGTCTTCCCTATGCTCACCTTGAGTCCTATCTTCGCTGCCCGCCAGCCTCTTCAGCCATTTTCTTGGTATTAGCCTACAAATCTTCGAGTTTGTGTGACATTAAACACAAATCAGTCAGACGAGCGAAATCCACATCTTCTAGAGTTTTCTTATCGGTGGTCCAACGTATACCTGTCTTCTCACTCCACTACAATTAGGAATATCATTGGAAATAATAGACAACCTTCTGTTACTCCTCTCTTCCCCCTCAAAGGCTTCTCTGAATTTTCCTTTATACATCAATTAACATGGGGCATCTTCAGATGGCTGTTGAATGAGGTTGACAAAAATGCTGATTCCTCATACCCTACTTACCCCTAGATTAGAAATAGGAAGTGAAGTGGTAGAGCACGTTGACCGCTTCACTTACTTGGGAAGTACCATCAGCCAGTGCCAATGGGTTGATCTCCGACGAAATATCAGCACGAATACAGAGAGCTAGTTTCGCATATGCCAGTTTACGCCGTCTCTGGCGGAGACGTGATATCCGACTATCGACCAAAGGGCGTGTGTACTGCTCAACAGTCCGCTCCGTCCTCCTTTATGGCTGTGAGACCTGGCCATTGAGAGTGGAAGACATGGAAGGATTAGCTGTCTTCGATCATAGGTTTCTGCGTTTTATCTCCCGCGGGAGGTGGTATGATAAGGTGAGCAATATTGAGGGTAGGCGTCGGTCGAGTGCCAGGTGGGTAACGAGGGGAAATCGACGAGGCTGTGAAATTACATCGACTGAGGTGGTTAGGACATGTGTTACGTATGCCTAGTCATCGCCTTCCTTGACTGACGGGCAATGTTAGCTGATATAGGGTCAGGCTGGAAAAGAGCTAGCGGCGGTCAAACGAAAACATGGCTTCACCAGTCAATGAAATCCACAACAGTTAGTTTAAGCTAACCACATAGGAAAGTGTAGACTTCCTGGCTGGTTGGGGTCCTCGGGACGGTTAAAACCAATGACGCCTGGAAACAATTGGTGACATGGCTCAAAATCGTTCTCAATGGCTGTCGCAGATGCATCCACTCCTTGTGACTCATGATTTCCAATGAAACTGTTTTGTTCTTCGTTATTACTATTCCTTTGTCTCACACCTCTGTTTGCTGTCTATACTATGCAGTTCTCCTACTTTCTTCTCTTGCTTTGTGTGCTACAAGGAGGGAGTGTGGCGACTTGAACTGCCGCACATATGTGCAAAGTTCTATGTCGAAAACCGACCGACCATACCTTACTCATTTAAAACGCTTAAGTACAGGAAGACTTTAAAGACTGAAGCCATTGAGCATTTATAAATATTCACTAATTAAAAAGCACTCTTGGTTTCCTTATTTTGTTTCATATGAATGGCAACATACTCGTGAATAATACACATAGTCAAGAGTTCGATTCCCGATCAATATGGCTCCAAACCTTATCCGATTAACTAGCGGTAAAATACTCGCTAACCACTGAAGTGATCTTGGGTTTGACCCCCGACTGATGCACTCCTAAACTTCATTTAGCTGGTAGTAAGGTAGTTAAAAAGAGGGGAGGTTCGGTTTCGAAGCTAGCAACCTCATCCCGAAAAAAGAGTAACACTGAGACTACAAAAACTCAAGTTTGAAACTCCGTGTTCCAATGAAAACACAAAACGATAAAATAGAATCAAACAAGTCGGCAAAAGAAGCATCCAGAGAAGAAAGGACTTCAGGTGAACATAGAGAAAACAGAGGTGATGAAGATTCCTGGACAAGAACAACAACAACAGACAATGATCAGCATAAATGGGAGGAACCTGAAAGAAACAACCTCTTTTACCTACCGAACTGGAAAGCATCGTTTCAAATACAGGCTGGTAGAACTGACTAGGATATCAAAGCAAGAATCGGAAAAGCAAGACAAGCTTTCACTACTCTCAAGTCTGTTTGGAGGGGTCAACAGCACTCAGCATGAAAATGAAAATAAGATCCGGATTTTCAACTCCAATGTGAAGTCAGTGCTACTTACTATACGGATGGATCAGAGACTTGGTGCGTCATACAGAGCATCTCAAACAAATTACAGACCTTCATTAACAGTTATCTTCACTCAATACCACTCAAGATCAGATGGCGGCCAGAAAAGATCAGTAACAGAGATCTCTGGCAATGAGCGAACCAACACAGTAGGAACCGATTGTGAAACAAATAAGCAGGTAGAAATGGAGATGGATTGGCTGGCCATACTCTGAGGAAGCGAACCATCAAGTGACATCACGAGACAAGCCATTGCTCGAGTGGAACCCGACTGAATGGGAAGCGGCGAGTTGGTCGTCAGTGCAAGGGTGACTTGGAGTGGAGGAGGTGATGTGAAGAGGAGATGAAAGCGTGTGGGCAGACTTGGAGCCAGATGAAGACTCTAGCAGAGAACCGTGCGCAATGGAGACGTTCGCGGCTGAAGCCCTATGTTCCTCTAGGAATTAAAGGAAACAATAATAATATAATAATAATAAATCCCTACAAACCAATACTTGAAAATCAATAAGATGCTCACTAGCGACTGGCCCCATTCAGGTAGGTAGTTACTTGGGGTTCTAGTGGGAAGTCGTGACTAGTAGTGGGGTACAGCAGGTAGGTGTGGGGAAAAATACTCCCCGAAGACATTGGCTAGTGTCAGTCGCGCTATGTTGTGAATTGGCAGAAGTTAGAATTAATGCACAGGACAGGACATTGCATTGGGTCCCAGTGGTTTAGTCGTCTACCAGCTAGCTCGCTAGCCTTGCAACCGGACGATCCTGGGTTAGAACTGTGGCGGTGAATGCTAGCTGTCTGGCAGTATTCGCTGCCTGGTGGTTTTCCAATGGTTCCCTAACTGATGTCAGCTCATGATCAAATCTCCAACCTGAAAGTGCTGGATTCTATCCCTGTTGGGTTGCATACTATTGAAGAGTCCTGAAATGGGACGAAACATATGTCTTGTAGTTCTCTAACTGAAGTCAGTTCGTGGTCAGCACCCCCAAATGCACACTGAATTGTCATTCTAATTACGTAATATCATACTCTAAAACAACAAAATTCACCCCACCCCGCTATATACATTGACACATTTAAATAGATACGCATATATATATTTTTTTATATCTATGGAGAAAAATGTGTAAAACCTACCTGTGTTTCAGACAATCTTAATGATCTAGCCAATTCAGCTCTTTCTGTTGCTGATAAATAACGCTGATAGTTGAAACGTCTTTCAAGTTCATAAACTTGTGCATGTGAAAAAGCAGCTCGTGTTCGTTTACGACGATGAATAGTTGATTGTGTAGATAACATCCCCATCGCAGTTATCGATGCTGTTGATGATGAGGAGGAGGAGGGGGTGGACGATGTCAACAGTGGTGTTGTTATTGAATTTTTTATATCATTACAATTCATACTACTATTATTATTATTAGTAGTAGTTTTCTCGGTATTTAATCCATCGTTGTTAATTACTGATTGAAAATAATTAGATATAAATGATGCTTGTTTATTCTTCAATAGAGAATAATATAATCCATATTCTTTGAATATATTGAGTAATTTCTCGGAATAATCATTGTTTCCATAGTTACCTTTAGCGTCATTCTTATCCTCACCATCCTTATTATTAGTATTAGTAGTAGTAGTCCTAATTTCACTAGGTGTTACATTTCTGCGATCAGTATTATTGTTCAACTGATAAGAGCTACACTTGTTCAATGTACAATCATTATTATTATTATTATCCTCATCATTGATCAATTTAGCCTTTTGTTGTTTAAATGCATCATTGTAAATAAAATGCGGTGAATTTGAATTTGTCCATACTGTCATACTGGGAAGTGATTTTGTTGCTAAATAGGGTAGAATACATTCTGTAGAATGTTGTTTCATTTCAGTATGATTTAAATTGGCAATTTTTGTATGAATAAAGTTTTGTAACAGAACTGAAATTTAAAAAAATAAAATAAAATAATGAAATTTGAATAAAGCAATAAGAACAACAGTGGTGGTTTGTGGAGAATGATAAAATGGTACCAGTATTGCTTATTTCGTTGGCTTCTCATCATCTGCTTACAGCCTCAATAAATTATGAGGTTTACGTACAGAAAACTTTTAAAATACTTGCAAATTTTACATGATGTCATTTGACAGGAAGTTCCGGATTTAGTGAACAGTGATCAGAAAATTTTGCTTAAATCTTTTTTACACAGGCTGTTCAAGATTAGACAAAATAAATGTATGCATACAATGGTAAAGGAGTTACGTAATTGAAAGACGAGAGATGTGTGAGATGCCGAGTGACTAAAAAATTAGGTAACAATGTACTGAGTTCAACTCAAATCATAGAAACAAGAGACAAGCAAAATTACAGATTATAAAAGGGGGTGGGTGAGGTTAAAGCCAAAGAAAACGTAATCAAATGAAGGCGAGAGAGAATAAAGACATCCGGTGACGAGGTGGGCAAGGAAAGACTGCTCACAACTGCTTCTTTCTGAACACACTAAATCTGGTTTGGTTCAAGCGTTTGATAGAAATTGCTTCGGTAGAATTTGAGGAGAATGGAGCTCCTTTGTCTATTGATAATTTTAAAGGATTTTGCGATTTCCACCTCATGACCCGTATCAAGGAGATGTCTGATAATGGCGCTACTATAAGGGTTTTGTTCCTTTGAGACGTAGGCTTTTCGGTAAATGTTCAGAAAATCTGAGGTATGCCCTTCTTCATTCTGTTTTTCTAATGTAACTGCCCCCGCAGATACACTCAGAGGCAAGCTCTGTAGGCTAAAAGACCCTGTGGGTTGACCCAATTTAAGAAAATAATATAATTTACCAAATACCTTCCAATGACTGAGAGTGAGGTCAACTGCATACGTCAAACTAGTAGATCGGGGATAGTCAGATTGTCGGAACGTAAGAATTTAGCTAAGGTTAGAATGGTTAACCCCACCCGTGAAGATAAGTAATTTAGAAAAAAGCTCAGGAATCACGCTGCATGCATGCATTAACACACAACCACACAATGGTGTGGGTGGGATAGAGTCAAAATTCTAAGAAGTAATCTATGTAGGTGGAGAGCGAGAAAGATTGATTACTGAATCCTTGTTTATTGAGTCTACACCCAAAACAACACACGCAACAGAAATGACTCAATGCAAATACCAGAGATATGCATGGAAGATATTATTACCACCAGTCAGTCAAATCAGAGGAGGATAATAAATAACCCTAAATTGTATTCTGTTTCAATTCAATTCATGTACATCACAATATTCCAACAAGTTACTTATTTTGACTATAGAAACACTCGTTTTATTTCCCATCTGACTGTATTTTATTGATAACACTCATATTATTATTTCTGAATGTACATTATCCCATATTGATTTAATTCAATCAAATGTCAAATCACCAATTTTTACTCAAGTGTATAAATGAAGCAAGAAAGTTGTGTAAGTGAGTACCTTGATGTGGTTATGAGCAGTAATAATAAATTGTACTCGAAAGGTGGTCATCAGTAAATATTACTGTATAAAGACACTGTGTTGTGATTTATCAAAATAAAATTTCAATCTCGTCATGGAGATATACTCTACCACCACAGTGCCCAAATTTTATACTTATATCAATTTGGATGAAACTTTGAACTGATCACAAAGTTACATGACGAAATTATATCAGATAGAGAAATGCTTAAAAATTACCAAGAAGTACTGAAAAGCTGTTTTGTTTTTTTATTTAGGAATAATTCTTCAGCAGCACATACTTAATAACCCCACCGAATTTCCATTGATGGACTGTTTAAAACTTGGATTATCGACAAAACCTCAATCAATATATATATTCGCATTTATTATTTTCTGTGGTTAAGTTTGTTTAAATCTAATAAAATATGACCTCTAACAGTATTGTTTACTCCAGCGAGTCTTTTAAACATTTACAACCTTCTGTTCTACTAAATTTGGGCAAATGCATTCTCTTGGATGGCAGTTTATCCCAAAACATGAGGCAACTACTGTTCCTTGGTTGTGTGTTTGATTCACAAAATGTACTTTAGAACTTTTTAGAATTGGAGTTCAACAGAAAAAAATATCATGTGGCAAAAATATTCATTCAGACATTTTGAAAAAAGCAATTGAGCAAAGAATATCCTTTTTCGATAATTTCCTCCTCTTACTCTGGCTCTATAATTATATATACATATGTTTATATACATAGAATATTCTAGAATAGTAGTCAATAAAAATATTGGTGTTTTTAAATTATATCGGTTTTTTGAGATCAATGGAATCACAGTTACTCCCACGGAGCCAGTTACACAGGCCGTACAATTAGGTGTGTTTCTCGTAGAATTTCCGAACATCACCCTGCATAGTGGTTGGTTAAGTAAATGACAAACAAAATCTATTCATATAGCGCTATTCTATCTCATCTTGTGGATACGGAACACAAGATTGATTGATGTCAACGAGGCAGCTTTCAAAGTCATTTACCGCATACCAACCAACAAATCTCAATTTCGCCTTAAGAGTTTGACTACTAAATATTGCTGAGGCCGGCTGTTGGGATCCATATTAGGAAGCCTAATTTATGCGTCCAAAAGGCCATCAATGTTCTAATGATCCTCAATTTTTGTAGAAATTTCGCGAATTTTAGTTGATATTCTATTTGCTGTTATATTTTTATTATTATTATTATTATGATTACTATAATTTAAGCATCTTTAATGAACTGTGGTGATTCCATTGTATTCTTACTTAACAAATCGATATTATTTAAAAAGCACACTAATATTGTTATTGACTACTAATCTAGAATATTCTATGTATATAAACATATATGTATATATAATTGTAGAGCCAGAAGAGGAAATTATCGAAAAAGGATATTCTTTGCTCAATTGCTTTTTTCAAAATGTTGTGCATTTCTCGGAGGCAGCAACAAAGAAGAGATATCATAGTGGATCGGTTTGCGCTTCAGTTTAGACAACACACTGTGTCACACACGGCCTCATGTTAATCAACATTTTTTTTATTTGAAGATCCTGGTGGAAGAGGAAATATCATGCGATAAACTCCACTGAAAATTCTGTACATCATATAGACACAGGTCGGAATAACGGCCTTATTGTCATTATTATTATTATTCAAACCTTCATGGCTCCTGGCAAGCCCTTTGAACATTTAACCAGTTAGACGGAATCCACTGTCAGGTTCACGAATTCTAACCTCTGCTAACTGATGTTGTATATTGTGAATAGGTGTCCTAGGAGTGACAGTTAAATAGTGATCTTAAGGGCACACTTTGATTGGCCACTAGTTACTAACTAGTGTGATGTGTCTAGTCGTTTGTTTGTTTGGTGTAGACTGAATTCTACCAGTCAGTCAAGTTTGCAATGTGGCCACCATGTCACTAGGTAGCTCGCCATCACGGTGCACCGTGAATTGTTAGTATTAGATGGTTGGAGGCAATCGGCACTGATAGAATTCAATCTGCACCAAAGAAAGAACTAGCCAGACACATCACACTACAGTCCTACAGGAGGTCAATCGTGAGCCCGAATAACTCCTCAGTGGTAACGTCTTTGACTGCAGGCCGACACTGGGTGACGCGGGTTTGAATCCCGCTAGGGGTATACATGAGTTCCTTCAAGGTTGCAGATACGCCTGCCTTGCTGACTGGTGAGTACCAAATAGCTCAAAACCCAGGTCAAGCAGGGCTTCCTGTGGCCGATTACCTCCAACCATCTAATATCTTAAAGGGGTTACCTTGAATCTGCGAAAGATTATAGGATGGACTGTCAATCTTATGTCGCCTATCCCTTGTGAATTTTGATCTATGTCGATTTACACGCCAAAAGTCGTTTTTAATGAACTTTTTAATAAGTATAGGTTTGTATTTGCGCAAATCCTAGATTCCACTGCTAGGTATCATCAACCAAAAACAAAGTCGTGTTAATCTTCAAAGTTCGTCAAAGCATCTGTACTTGGAGCCAATATATCATCAAAAGAGATCGAGCACTTAGTTTCAACATAATCAATAAATGCGAAGCAAAAGTTTAACACCTGATAACCTTTACATAAGAGGTGGCACTTTTGGCCTAGTGTTCTAGTGAATAACGCCTTGGCGTTTAAAAACGATCATTACAGGCTTCATGTCTCAGTGGTCTCATTCTCAGTTCTCATATAAAATCAATTAACATCTCAGAAAATCAGAAATCTCTCTCTTTTTTGCAATGAAAGGCAACTCACTAAATACGTGGTCATTAACGACTATTGAAAGATATTTAATTCTATTGATTTTTTGTTTCTTAGGGAAAGATGGAACTCCAAACATGATATCTTTTGAGTTCCAAAGGTATGTTTCGTCCTACCTGGAAGTCATCAGGTGAATATAACTACAGCCTTAGTGATTGGCAGTGTTTCTATTAGGACTCGCCCTCAGAACCCAACGGTTCAGACATCACAGATTTTACTGAGTTATGAGAGACGTCTCTTGTCAAGTAGGCGCGATTTGTAGTAACTTATGCATACTTGTGACCTACATTTGGTGATATACAAGAACCAAACTGATCCTCCTGATGTCAGTATATGGGGTGGTTGATAGGGGTGTTTCGATATTTTCATGACTGTGTAGGTGATATATATATATATATATATGGATCCCGGTAACAAGAAACTCTGGCAAGCAGTGAACCGACCTATTGCTCAACAAATATGGCGACACCACAAATGACGTCATACTCCAAGCAGACCTTCGAGTGAAATTCACATGGGAAGTGATGGGTTGGACCTAGGTCCAAGGATGACACTGAAGAAGGTCATGTAAGGAGGGAGGGACAATTGTGGAGTCCGTTGAAAGTAATAGCAGAGGATCAATCGGGAATGAGATGTACCACTGGAGCCCTATGTTCCACTCGGAAAGTAGGGTATAAACAATAAATAATAATTTAATACAATTTGGGCTTTCCTGTTAATTGACTGGATCAAAGTACTCGGTCCCGGTATAAGTATAAAACTTGGGCACTGTGGAGGTAGAGTATTACTCCATTATGGATAAGATTTTATTTTGATAAATCACACAGTGTTGTTATACAGTAATATTAACTGATGACCACGTTTCGAGCACAAATTATTGCTACTCATAATCATATCAAGCTGCTCACTCACACAACTTTTTTCCTTCATTTATATACATGTGTGGAATTGACTAGATATTTGAATAAAAATCAATATGGGATAATGTGCATTCTGAAATAATAATACGAGTGTTATTGATCAATTACAATTAGATGGGAAATAAGACGAGTGCTTTTATAGTCATAATAAGTAACTTGTTAGAATGTTGTGATGTGCATGAATTGAAAAAGAATTTTAAGATTATTTATTATCCTCTTCTGATTTGACTGACAGTGATAATGTCTTCTATATTTCTTGTATTTGCATTGAGACATTTCTGTTGCATGTGTTGGGTGTAGACTCAATGAACCAGGATTCAGTAATCAATCTCTCTCTCCACCTACCTAGATTACTTCTTAGAATCTTAACCCTCTCCCACCCTATTGTGTGGTTGTGTGTTAATGCATGCAGTGCAATGTAGTGCTGAGCTTTTTTCTAAATTACTTATCTTCTCGGGGTCAACCATTCTTACCTTAGCTAAATTCTTATGTTCCGACAATCTGACTACCCCCGATCTACTAGTTTGACCTATATAGTTGACCTCACAGTCATTGCACGGTATTTTGTAAATTATATTATTTTGTCTAATTGGGTCAACTGGGTCCTTTAGCCTACAGAGCTTGTCCTACCTGAGTGAGCTTGTAGGTTTAAATGCCACCCTAATTCCTGCTTTATTAAGAATCCTACGTAGGGTCTCAGATGTCCCCTCCTTATGTGGTATAACAGTAGATGACTTATATTCTCTCTTATTTATGTTATCATTACTAGTTTCATAATTATTTTTATTTTGCTTTTGGCCTATTTCGATCTTCCTAATGAATTTTATGGGATAGTTATTTAACACCAATGCCTCTTCTATCTGTTTTATTTCGTCATTTAGGTCTTTCCTTGTGCCACTTAGAGCTACTGCTCGGTTTGTTAGACACTTAACTAAGCCTGCCTTAACAGTTAAAGGATGAGATGAATTAAAGTCTAAATATCTATTAGAATGCATATACATATATATAAATGAAGTAAAAAGTTGTGTGACCAACTTGATATGATTATGACCAATAATTGGTGCTCGAAACGTCATCAGTTAATATTACTGTGTAACACTATGTGATTTATCAAAATAAAATCTTATCCATAATGGAGTTACTCGGTCCCGGGTTGATATGCTGGCTCCTCCTAGTACAAATGCTTTGACCTTTTCTGATTATTAAGTCTGAAGTAAGTAAACTGGTGGATAGTGACTGGCAGTGGAATCTAGGACAGATGGCATTCCGTCCAATCGATCAACAGGGAAGTCCAATTTGAATTAAATAGTTACTAATACTCGTGGCTCTTGTCGCCCAAGTGGTCTATTGGATAACGCTTTGGTGTTTGAAACTATGTGTACTGGGTCCAAGCTTCAGTGGGAGGAACACCATTACTTACTCACTGGGGAATACAGATACACCCAGTAGCTGACGAGACCTAAGATAGGACGAAACGCACATCTTGAGGGATTCCACTGCTTGTCACCAACAACCAATTAAATATCAAATAAATAGTAACAGTAACTAACAAAAGTGTAGATGAACACATGGCGGGAGGGGGGAGAATAAGTTAAAATCTGGTCTCAGTGTTCACAGAGGTTGCTAACCTCATTCCGTAAAGGAAAGTCACCACCGCAACTGAAGCCTAAGGTCCCGCGCTCAGAACTCAAACAAATGGCGAAAAAAGAGGAATAAAACTTCTAGCATAATAATACTTAACTTACATTCATGATTCCTTTCTAATATATCCTCCATAGATTGTATATTCGTCTCATTCAGCGAAAAATTATTGATTTTTGTTGAATTGATTAATTCACCATTAGTAGAATTCAATTTTTCATCAATATAATCACAATCACTTGTCATATTGATATTATTACTTGGTGTAGTGGTATCTGGACTGTTAAGCTGGGTTGATTCACACTGTTGATGCCTTGATGGCTGTGGTGATGGTGTCTGACTACAAAATGTATCTATAACAGATGATGAATCCATGAATTTGTCTAATTCACATTCCTCTTCCGAATCACTTTGATGAAGAACATTCTCCGTTGAACTGGATTCATGAATTAAACTAGCTATCGAAAATGTTTCCATTTTTTTTACTTATTCAATTTCTCGCTTTCAGAAATGCGTTCATCAAATAAATTAATTAGCAACTATCGTATTGAGTTATTTAAAGGGTTCTTTTCCACTATCAGAGTTTTTATTCGTTCATACCAATCCAAGCCCTACTGTCATTAATGTTCTCTCACTTTCAACTACCCTCACCACCCTTTTTTCATCACTAACGAACGGACTAACTACCATTTCCTATTGAAGCGCAATACTTTTCACTCCCTAATTAAGTATCCCTACTAAAAATTAACCAATCATAATAATGACAGGTTATTTATTATTATTGCTATTACTATAATTATAATAATTAAGTGGTAGAAGAAATAAGTAGTGAGTGGGCGGACAGTAAACTGATATTGATTTCACTCAGTCAGTCAGTCAAGCAGTCAATCAGCCAATCCAAACTCTGTCCTGTCATCTACACCCACACACACACATACACTACTTTCATAATCTTCTATTGATCATATTGTATGTATGTGTGTATATGTAAGTCCATATATGTGAAGGCCTTGATTGTGTGTTGTGGACAAAATCTTATTCTAGCCACATAAAAAGGCCTAGGGAAAAAGTGACAGTAGATATAATGACAGCAGCCACTTGAAGCAATAAAGAAATCATTACCTAAAGAGTCTGTCGGATTGGTTAATTAGTCATGCCCCATCAATCACTTACATGCATACAAGATGACTGCGATTGGTTAAGGCAAAGAGGGAGGGAATGGACAATAATATTTGAAATAATAATAATGAAATCTCTCTCACTTGTCCTGAATGAGTTTTCCTTCCCCAGCCGTCAATCGGCAGGGAGAGAAAGAATAAAAATTATTATTAGGTATTAAGGAATGTGTATTCATCGCTGCGTGCGTGCGTGCGTACATGTGTGTATGTGTGTAAGAGAGAGGCAGAGAGAAATTAGACACAGAAACAAGTTTAATTTAGTTGCTTGCCATAAATAGTGAAAGAATAATTAAATACTGACAACATTCATGTGGTTTTTTGTCATGGATATTCTAAAATCTTTTAGATCAATAGATTACAATTTAGAAAAGTATTTGTAAGCGATAATATGCATAACAAGAGCTTGTTTTTTAAGGATTACATTTGTTTTTACGAGTTTGAGCACGGATTGATATCAGTTAGAGAGCCATTGAAAACCAGTCACAGGGAGTACTGGACAGCCATCTGTTTCATCAGCCCAGTTTGGGACTCATCGGCAGTGTGCACCCACCACAGGAGGTTCGAACCCAGGATCTTCCGGTTACAAGGCAAGCTGGCTAGCTCGTATACCATTCAGCCACTGGGACCCTACTCCTCAGTGGCTAGCCCATGAATTCTAACTTCTACTAATTCGTGATGCATTTAGCGCTACTGGCACCAACCATTGTCATCGGTGGGAAATCCATTCTCACACTTGACTGGATGGACCTTACTGGTCACGACTTCCCACTAGAATTCCAGGAAACTCCATCCTGGATGGATGTCCCACCGGTAACATTGGTTGGTGCCAGTAGCGCTACATGCCTCACGAATTGGTAGAAGTTAGAATTCATGGGCTAGCCACTGAGGAATCGGGTCCCAGTGGCTGAATGGTATACGAGCTCGCTAGCCTTGTAATTGGAAGCCCCTGGGTTCGAACCTTGTCGGTGGGTGCGCACTGCCGACGAGTCCTGAACTAGGCTGACGAAACGGCTGTCCAGCATTCCTTGTGGTTGCTTTTCAATGGTTCTCCAACTGATGTCAATCCGTGATTGAACTCGTAAAAACTAAACTGAATGTCAAATATTTTAGTTTCAATTTAGACTTTCTCGTCGATTGATGTGACTGAAGTGCTTGGTCCCGGGTTAACATGTTGACTTTTAGTGGAAATGCTCCGACGATGTCTGGTCGTGTAACTTGAAGTCAGTTGATAGAGATGGTGACTAACATTGGAATCCACCAGAATATGAGCATTTCGTCCTATCATCATCATCACTCACTGAGGAATGCTGGTATACCCAGTAGCTGACGAGTCCTAGAATAGGACGAAATACGGATCCTGGTGGATTCCACTGCTAGTCACCATCCACCAAATGAAAGTATCAAATAAATTAAGAAAAATTAAAAGTTTGTTCGTAATAATAAGAAATAAGGGACAAGCCTGTGGGAAATTTATACAATACAGGGTTGAAAATCCCATCTAAAACATACGACGTAACAGAATGTTTGTGAGTTTATAGATTTCACAGTAGTCTAGAAGAGTTATAGTGTCCGGACATGTTTCTTTTACACTCCGAGTTCCGTTTTTTTCAGGTCAATTGCAATGGCTTCTGCTGTTTAGAGTAGTCTGTGCCTAGTTTCTTCATCTCTTTGTCTTCCGAGTGGAACGTTATCAAAGAATGTGCCCATCTAAGAGGACGTGAAACAACTGATACCTGTGTATATTGATGGGGTGAGATGATCTGAAGTCTAAATATTATTTCAGTATGCTTTCTTTCTGAATATCAATTTATGAAAAAATATCCATTTTCTTTCTTTCCTCTTAACTAGACAATCCAGAAAAGCGAAGTCATCGAAGTCTGATTCTATTTCCGAAGTGAACTGAATGTTCAAGTATTGTTTTGTAGGGATTTGGTTGATTGGTTACAGGATTTCATCATTAGCTGACATTGGTTAGAGAACCATTGGAAAATCTGGGAGTACTGAACATCGGTTTCGTCCTAGTTTGGGACTCTTCGTCAGCACACACCCACCCGGGGTTCGAACCCAGGACCTTCCGGTTACAAGGCGGGCTCGTATACCATTAAGCCACCGGGACTCGATCCAATGGCCTGTGAATTCTAACTTTTGTAAGGACGGATACTCGCCGAAGACATTGGCTAGGGGTCGCGCTATGTCGTGAATTGGCAGAAGTTAGAATTCATGGACCATTGGATCGGGTTCCAGTGGCTTAATGGTATACAAGCTCGCCTTGTAACCAGAAGGTCCTGGGTTCGAACCCCGATGGGTGCGTACTACTGAAGAGTCCCAAACTAGGACGAAACAGATGTTCAGTACTCCCAGATTTTCCAATGGCTCTCTAACCATTGTCAGCACATGATGAAATCCTGAACTGAATATTGTCAGACTGATTGTTTAGTTTCTCCCAAGAATGAACCTGTGTAGGTCTCATTGTAGTCCAAAGAAAGTACTATTAACAAAATCTTTTTTTATTATTCCTTCATGTTCCAAGAGGAACATAGGGCGCCTTCAAGCTAGAGCCAGCTTGAAGTTTCTGTAGCAGTGGTGATTATTTTTACAGGATGGGTTTGCTAGCCAGCCTCATGCCCCCCCAACCTTTCCTCTTTACCAGTCTTACTACTGGCTTAGCGAGCGAGGTAAAGGAGTGCTTCCAGTGGCCGGGGATCGAACCCCGGACCACATATGGCGTGGTTGGCGAGCGTCCTAACCGCTATGCCACCGACGCACAACAATATTTTAGCTCTAATTTAAGTTTGAGTATGTTTGAGAAAATGCTATCTTGAAATGTATTCATGAAAAGATCCCCGACTATTAAGGAAGCTATGATTAAGTTATTGTATACATGCCGAGATTTTGTAAATTCTGGTTTAGTACGTTTGTTCGGTGTTTATTCCTTTACCTTCTCATTGGAACAAAGGGCTTAAGGCTACAGTTGCGAAGTTTCAGTAGCAGCGGTTTTACTTTTTTTACAGCTAGCCACCCCCCATTCACGCCCAGCCAGCCCTCTTTACTGGACTTACTTTTTACTAGCTTAATGGGGTTTAGAAGTGAGTCGGTGGCCGGGGATCGAACCTTGAACCATGTGTGGCGTGGTTGGTGAGCAGTATACTATCGCTAAACCACCGACGCACGGTTCAGTATGCTATTAGAGAAGCGTTTAAAATAAGGAAACGTCAGTGAAAACAACGACAAAATAGTTTTACTTCTTCATTCACTGGGAAATATAAAATAACTCCATTAGAGAGAGATCAGATTTTATTTTGATAAATCACACAGTGTTGTTATACAGTAAGTAATATTAACTGATCAACACGTTTCCAGCACAATCTATTGCCACTCATAATCATATCTAGGCACTACTCACACAACTATTTTCCTTCATTTATATACACGAGTGAAATTGATGATTAGACATTTGAATAAAAATCAATATAGGATAATGTACATTCAGAAATAATAATATGAGTGTTATCAATCAAATACAATCAGATGGGAAATAAGATGACTGTTTTTATCGTAAAATAAATAACTTGTTAGAATGTACGTGAACTGAAATTATCCTCCTCTTATTTGACTGACTGGTGGTAATAATATCTTCCATGCGTATCCCTGGTATTTGCATTGAGTCATTTCTGTTGCATGCGTTATGTTGGATGTGTAGACTCGCTGAATCAGGATCCAGCAGTCAACCTCTCTCTCTCTCTCTCCACCTAACTATATTACGTTTTAGAATTTTGAATCTGTCCCACCCACCCTATTGTGTGGTCGTGTGTTAATACATGCATGCAGTGCAATGTAGTGCTGAGCTCTTTTCTAAATTACTCATCTTCGCGGGTGGGGTTAACCATTCTAGCCTTAGCTAAATTCTTATGTTCTCACATGCAGTCTGATTACCCCCATCTACTAGTTTGATCTATGTAGTTGACCTCACTCAAAGTCATTGCAAGGCATTTTGTAAATTATATTATTTTGTCTAATTAGGTCAGCGTTCAGGGTCCTTTAACCTACAGAGCTTGTCCTACCTGAGTGAGCTTGTAGGTTTAAATGCCACCCTAATTCCTGATTTATTGAGAATCCTACGTAGGGCCTCTGTGGCCCTACTGTTTCACAGTGTGATATATCTAGTAAACGAACTAATATGCGCAGAGTACTACTATTTATGAGTTTTTAAAATTTCCCATCTTATTTCCCTCTGATTGTAATTGATCAATAACACTCATATTATTATTTATGAATGTACATTATCCCATATTGATTTTT